CTAAACAAAGCCTTAGCAAGCCAATAGGAGACATTTTACAGAAAAGATAATTGTTTAAGGCTTGAAAATAATGCAAAGTGAGATAAATGCTACAGGGGTTTACTAATGGTACATTGTGCCAGGTGAAAAGGATATCTTTGCTAAAATTAATGTGTTTCTAGACCAAGGGAGTGTGGTTGACATCATCCGTCTGTACTGGATATCTGGATATTAATAGTCAAAATTGGAAAGCTGGGGATCTGTATAAGTAATATAAGTGATTAGCTAAATGACAGTACTGAGTGAGAAAGTGCAGAGTTGTGTAGGTGTCACTATTGGAGTTCCCTAAGGATGAGTTTTGTGATCAGTCTTAAGTTTTTCCTCAAGTGACTTACTTGGACACTGAAAGTAAGAGAAAGTTGATGAAATTTGCTGATAAAGAGGAAGAGAGTTGAGTCAATTAGCTGATGGTTAAATAAGGCACTGTTATTATACATCAGTTGGAAAGAGAAATGAAAATCATATGATGCATTTGAATTTGTTTCTGTCCAGCTGTTTTGTACCAAATAATGCACATGTTTAGTTTGTCATGACCTTAACTGCAGTTAGGCTCAGTGTCATAATAGCTCCTTTTCTTTTGCCAGTAAGAACCTGGCAGGTATGCACAGGCATATCTTAACTTAATCTTTACGTGCAGGTGAACCCTGTAGTGCAGTAATATGAGGAAAGTGTTTTGGGAGACTTTACCCTGTATGCCTGATGGTAGGAAACAAGAATTCTTTTGCAAATAAAGCTGACTACCATTAGATTTGACACAGTGCTGAGTGGCTTGCAATGCGAGCTTGCACACAAGCAAGAGCAGAACATTTTTCCTGTAGAATCAATTTGTGAGAACAGATCAGAGAGAAGTGGAGAGAAATGGTACAAAGAGGAGACCGAGAGAAGGGTGATGCAGATAAGGAGAGTGAAGAAACCAGAATATCAAAGAGATGGAAGGGAGAAAAGTATAAAGATGAGCAGGGATAAGGGATGCTCAAAGAGAGGGATGAAAAAAGAGGAGAGGGCATGAGGGAAGACAGGCAGAGGAAGGTGTGCATGAATGCCAGTAGGAGTTGCTGAGAAAAGGCTTGTGTGCACTGCAGTGGCAGAGAAAGATACAGGACGGATGCACGTACTGGGGGAGGGGGAGAGGCAGTGAATACACTCAGCAGGAGGGGGAGAGAGATAGATTGCAAACATGCATATAGGAGTGGTGGGGAGAAATAGTTGATGTACACAGCGGGGAGAGAGCAAGTGAGAGAGAGACACAGCAGATGCACACAGCAGGGGGGAGAAATGCATAGAGCGGGGAGGGGGAAGCAAAACAGGGAAAGTATCAAGAAGCCTCAACAAAATTTAACAGTAAAAGAAGAAGAAATAATAAAATTCATGATTTGGACATTTATCATTATTTAACACAGGAAATCAAGGGAATTTGAAGGGAATTTACATTAGTAAAAATTTTAAGCACTTCAGATGTTAATAGTGTTTAGTTTGGAATAAGACTATGCTTGACTTAATGAATTCCTCTTTGCATTTGTAGTGAAGCAGATGTCTGCTTTCTGTGTCTGACAGGGGACCCAATCCATTGGGTTTTGACGTCGGTAGGATCGGGGCTTTTTCAAGGGCATGCATTTATCTTGTCAATATGGTCTAACCAACCATCCTCACTTCTCTGCTCTGGTCTCACACAGGTGAGGAAGGTGGGTGAGAGGCATTGTCACCTAAACTTTGTGAAATCTAACAGCTGTCAGATGCTTGTCAATCCTCTTAACCCATGTTTGGGCACTGATCCCTGTTACTCAGTGCAGCACACAGTTGAGGGGAGATTGCAGTTATGTGCCTCTATGTGTGGCTTGTAGAGGTATCTGGCACCAGACCAGTGGCACAGACAGGGTCTGACCACCCTGATGGTAAGTATAAAGCAGCATCAATAACAGAGCAGTCAAATCATAAAATAGGTTAAGAGATGTTTTTTGGAGGACTTTTTTTTTATTATTGTATTAGATGATGTGTATCTTTTCCCAGTTTCTGTGGAAAATATACAAGATAGCTCCAGCAATTTTTATGAGCGCTGGTATGCATATGGAAGGGACACTGCCATTGGAGTGATTAACATCTGTACACAAAGTTGCTTCTCTGTGACTGAGCTGACAATTTAATATACAATCTATAAGGGAAAAAAATAACATGGGAAAAAGAACTCAAAGGGAGACACTTCTTACATGAGGAACTGAAGGTTGAAGAAGCTGTTTCTCAACAAAGCAGGATTTCCTCAACAAAAGAGAGGGCTTCCCTGTGGAAGAAACAAGGTGTTGATGGAAAATTTGGCCTCTTTTTGTGGGTGGAATCACAGGAATATACTGAAGATGGGTATCAGTATGGGCTGTTAGGAAAGTCTCTTTCTCCTTCAGGTGGTTTATAGCTCCTAAACCAATTTATTGCCATTGCTGTATGAAAGGCTTTACATAGTGCTGATAGCAGGCTTTTGAAGGGAGAGTTACCAGTGTCCAAATTCATAGGACGAAGTGAGTACAGCCAGTGTATCCATGCAGGCCCACATCTTTGATCAGGGAACAGGAGTGTGAGGCTTATGTAACTTCAGTGAAAAGTAGAAGTATAATGGCTGGATTACTCTAAGGTGGAAATGTGGTAGAAGACATGCTCAAAAAGCAATAAGTGCTTTTATTCATACCGCTGTTTTCCTCTCGTCTGAATTCTTTCTTCTTCTAAAAGCTCAGAGACAAAAGATTTATGCAAGTTTCATTTAACTTCTGCCATATGTTCTGTGCTTGCTGCTGCCCTCCTACAATGTAAGGAGCTTTATGGAATGCTGTGCTCTCCGGCCAAGTAGACGTGGCAAAAAAGGGAGAGAAAGTGGGTGAAATGTGTGGGTTTCAAGAGAGAAGATGTCAGAGACTGATATAAAAATGCCAATACTGTAGATCATACTGAGAAATTAGGAAGTTCTAGAAGGGTCTGTTTGTCTTGTTCAGATTTGGAAGGAGCTTGCTACCGATTTCCTTCTGCAGTAGTGAAGCCTGTTGTGATTTGATGAACAATGTGGAAAAGCAGGGAGGGAGAAACTCCTGCCAAAAAGACTCATCTTTTTGTATAAGTGGAATCAGAAATAAATATGGAGTGGTGGGACTGATATATTCAATTAGATTTTAATGTGTCTGAAAATGTAGTTCAGAGACAAGCTGGCCCTTCTGCTTCTGTGTGCATTGGTACCTGCTCCAAGGGTCTATTAGTGACCTTAGTGTAAGTGTTGTATGCATAAATTGCCTGTAAACATACTTCCCTCAGTCTCCTCCTAGCTCAGCTTTGTGAGTTTATGCTCCTTTTTCTGAACTGGATGGGTAGAAGAATTTTGCTTAGACACTGCTGAAGTGGGGAAAGGTTTGTCCTGAACTGCTGTCATGGCCATCCTCAGAGGCTCTGTTCTCTGGTAGTGCCAAGCCCAGGCTTCTCTTATTCTGTGCCCTCATGCTGTTTTGAATACATTAGGGCATTACTGAGTCACTGGAGTGACTAACACAAATGCTGACGAATAAGAGCTCTCTTCCACAGATGTGCAACCATATTTTCAGAGTGCTGCTGTGGCTGAGAAAGAGGGAGGACCTTGCACCACTCCTGGGAGCTCTGTACAAAGCTGTCTGAAGCTGATGGGAAGATGTGTCTTCAAGCTGGGCCCAGTATACAAAAAAGACTAAATAATGGTTTTTCAAATGCTAGAAATAACTAGAATATTAATATTGTTTTTTTCCATGTTACTATAGTAAGTTCTGTCTGTCTTTGTAGGTGCTTTAAATTTCTACATTCAAAAGCAAAAATCCTGCTACTCCAGATTTTTGAATGGGACTTGGAAAAAATCTCCCTTTGCATTCTGATAATTCTGGTTTGTAACCAATGTTCTGGGAAAGCAAGGGTTATCTTGGGCAATTCAAGTGTGACAAGACGAGCTGAATCTTATTATCAGAAATGAAAAAAAAAAAAAAAGAAAGACTGAAATACAGGAAATCAGTAAATGGTGGTAATTCGAAAAACCAGTAGATACAGCTTCAATGGGCCTGTTATAAAAGCAAAAGCTTAGCTGATAGTTTTAGATGGGTGAGAGGTGATAACTGTGAAGCAAACATTGCCACTAAATAGAACCAGTGTATGAATGTTGTGGGGATGGGAACTCCATTTGGTTTTGTGTACCACAATCGCTCTATAATTCTCTGATGAAATCTTTGCTTGTCAATAACTTAGTTTAGTTCCTTTAAGATATGCTTATATGTCCAGAGCACAACAAAGTGTTTTGTGAAATATATTCTACCGCATATGTAAGTAATGCTTTGAAAAACCCCGAATCTTGTTTATGAAGTGACTACTGTGAAGATATAATTCTGGAGGGACAAGCTTTAGAAATACCTATAAAATACTAAACCCTTTGTTCTTCATCAGCTGCTCTATTGAAATTAATTTTGTAGAATATCAAATTAGGTGCTGTTTGTTTAACTACTTGAACTGTAGGTGTTACATGCCACATAAAGAAAAGTGTTTTGAATACAAAATAGCTCAGAATTAAGTCATTTTAAAATGAGAATGAATACTGTGAGAAAAGCTCAGTCCCCTTCAGCTCTGATTAGTGACTGCGTGATACTTAAAGGGATAGATGTGAATATTAATATGGTTGATGTGTCCTATCAAATCTATTCTAGAAAAATTAGAATTAGGCGTACAGCATAAATCATATCTCATTCTGTCATGTCATAAAATGTTCTGGGCTTTTTTGGGTTTGGGGTTTTTTTTGAGGGATGTGTGTTGTTTCTTTTTAACTTCGGCATTGGTGTTGTGATTTAAATTATGCTTCATATTCAGAATGAAACTAGAGGACCTTATCTGGATGTTGATTGCAGTTTTGCTGATTTTTGTTCAGGACCATGTAGTGTACAGACACTATAGTTTGTTTTTTTTCTCCTATCAACAAGCAGAAGAATAAACACTGAATTCTCACATGTGATGAAAGCCTGGAAGGAAGAAACAGGGAGGAGGAGAGCAGAAAGTAAAATGGCAGGTAATGTAAAGAGAGCAGTGAAATGCAGCTGAATTTCTGTGCATTTATGCAGCACAGACTGGGACTTAACACAATGACGTGACAAAAATGTCAATTATGACCATATCACTGCTATGTAACTAAAAGGAAAGGCCTGCTCAGCTCTTGATATATAGCAATATATTGTATGTCAATACCTTGATTTTGGTTACGTTATTGAAGCTGAATTTAGGTAGTGTCATAATTACAAATATATTACAAAGAAAGAAAAAATAAAAAGTTTATACATACTTTCACACATATCTCATCATGAACATCTTACTTGACAGTTGAAAGCAGTTAGAACATACCATGCAGTTTTTAGAGTAATTTTTACTACATTATTAGAAGGATTTTTTTGATGTATATTTACATCAATTAATGATACAATATACACAAAAAGTATCTAAGTGACCTTATTTTATAGTACTGGTTTGGATGTGGTCCTTTACCCTTTCCCCCCTAATATTAGTATTGATTACAGATTCTGAGAATCTTTTTCTGTTTTATTTTTTTTCTCCACCTAGTCATTGTATTAAATCAGTAAGAACCTTCCTTTCTGATGTCTTTCTGTCTGGGGACTTGGCACATGAGGGCATGATGACAAAATTCAGAACATCATCTTTCTTTATTGTTTTTCTTGTGACAAGTCTTTAACAGACTCTAGAGAAAATCAGTATATTTTAAAAAAAAATTAGGCCTCTCCCCCCCACCCCAAAGATTTTTTTTTTAGAAGATGGCTACAATGTTGACTTCCTGATATATGCTAAATAGGAAAAAAAACATTTTTACACTCTAAGAAATGCATGTTCTGTCTGTGAGCTGCATTGGATTGGAGTAGGATGGTAGCAATAGATTCTATTTAATATTCCTCAATTAATTACTTATGCCATATTAATATATCATATTCAGTTCTGATAAATTCAGCTTTCCTTGTTTTGTAAATGTATTTCCATTTAGGAAATGAGTTAAAAATAAATGTAACAGTTACAGATAAGGTAAAAATTTGACACTGGGCACATTTGTAAGAGTATATGACAATGAAGTAGTATGTCTGTTGAGAGAAATTCTTCCTACCCATTTAAGGGATAACTACCTTGTTCCTCTCTTGAAGGATACTCATGAGGATCTGGGGAGAAAAGGACTCGTGAAATTCATGACTTTTGTGATATCTTGTGATAGTCAAGTCTTTAAACTAAATTTGAATTGTAAAAGCAACTGCTTCTTTTCAAGGGACTAAAAATGCATTACTACATTTCAAAAATTACTTTTTATGTGTGTGGTGAGAAGAATTAGCCACTCATGTTTACTCTTCAGGAGTAGGAAACCTATCCTGTCCTGTATTCTGTGTTGTTTTCTTTTTGTCATTAGTCAGAGCAGGTCAGTTTTCTAATTACAGGTTGAAATGTCTTAGAGCATAAGACATAAGGAATGGGAATAAAGAAATGAAAACCGTTAGTATGCCTTTCTAAATCAGTGATAGGAATTGCTTTTGAAATGCTCAGTGCAATATCAACATTACAAAAATGTTAGAGAAAATACAGAAAAATCTGAGCATGAAAAGCATTTTTAAAAGGCAAAATCAAAAAAGGCTGAAATTTCTTATCCCCAAATAGATGATTTTGATAGTCATTGTTAACCTTTTTTATTAATAAAACATTATTCAGTAAAACAGGAAGGTGAGGTGATAAATTCCAAATGTTTTAAAGAGTTCTTCCAGAAGGCTGCTGTGGTATAAGAAATTGAATTAATAAAGTGTGGTATAGTAGAACATAGTTTACAGTTCTTCAGCTTCTGAAGAGGGAAATGGAGTTGTAATTTACTCTGGATTTCCAAGTATTTATTTGTCCAGTTCTTTACTAAACAGTCTTCAGAAAAAAACAAAGACAGTGTAGTGTACCTAGATGACTTTCTATAAAAGGGCAGGCAGAACATACTAGAGCTTTTAAGCACAGAAGAGATATGTATGTGGGAAGTGCTCTGGTAGAGGTGGATACAAAGATGATTGCTGCAGAGGGGATAAGTGGGGACTTATGACCTGGTAGGTTTAGACAGGGGAAAAAGAAAGCATTTTTTCCCCCCTCTGAACCACAGAATTTAAACTGCAGAATGCGTCTCTCTACTTTTTTTGGAAGGTCTGAAGTACAAACTGATTTAAAAAGAGACTGGAAAATCAACAGAGAACTGGATAATGAATAGCTATTGAAGACAATTGTGTGGACACAACCTGTGACTTGTGAGATACTATCCTCATTGATTAATGATGGGTATTTTGTGCATTCCTTGATGGTAACAGCTATGGAGATGGACTAATGTTCTGATCTGCTGTTACATTTTTCTAGATTTCCAATTTGTACAAAAATTATATGTACAAAAATCCTTGCTTTAATATTTTTTCAGAGCCTAAGAAAGATTATAAGATCACTTGCTGTAGTGTATCCCTGTAAAACACTCTCCATAAAGTATGGGTTGCTGTGTGGTTCTTTGTTACCTGTTTTCTATTTGATGAAGGTTCATTGCAACATCAAGACCAAAGGCAATAGTGTTCTGCTAAACTAACAATTAACAGTTGTTCTTGCTCTGAAAAATACTCTAGGATGTTATGAGTAGGAATGTTTTGAAAAGTCAGCATTGTCTATTTTAAGGGGCACTTTTATTAAATTTTCTAGTGGTGATTACGCCCCTGTTACGTTCTGACTGGTTCCTGTTGATTACATTACAGAATGGCTATTGAACCTCTGGAGGCTTTATAATGTACATGCTGTTGGTCCATGATGTGGTAGAAAAAGCAATATCTTTCAGTATCCCAGTTCAGGACTGAGGAAATAAATGCACTGTGCAGTTTTGAGTAATTACTTGCATTCTGATCATGAATCTGTGTCTCTGCCATTTATTTACACATAAACAACTCTCTGGATGTCTCCAACACTTTGGCTTTTCTTTTCAAAATTCTTTGGCAGAAGAATGCTTTCTCCCCTCTTTTAAGAGTTTAGTTGCTTGTCAACCTATCCAACCTGTCATTTCCTGAGAGCACAGATGGGAGCAGTCAGAGCGGAAACCTGTTGATGGGAGCTTCCTGCACACTGGGCTACAAATGAAAGAAAGGTCCACTTTATATCCACTGTGTTATATTTTTAACTAATAGGGTTTTTGCCATATTTAAATAAAATATTTTTAAAATTATTTAAAAATACATTTCTTTAAAAGTAAAATATAAAAATGTTAATCAGGCAATGAATATATAGATCTAGGTGCAACAGTCTTTGAAAAAGTATGTATTTTATAGCATAAATATTATCTCGTATAGAAACAGTAAATAAAAAATAATTCTTAGCATATGGATCTGGCCCTTCAGAAAATATACCCAATTGTGAATTAATACTTTGGAAGCAGCTAAAAGCTTAAGGAGTCACCTACTTAATATGCATAACAAATAATAACCTGTCTCCTACGTACAACTTCTCTTTAGCAATGGAGCCAAAATTTGCGGTTTTGTGCAATTCTATCAGCACAACTTTCAGGCTTATACTCAATTTTCAGCATATTCTTATATTTCATTGGCTTCTGAACTGAAACATATGCCCATGTGATTTGCTGAAGAGTGGTTGACCCCAGGACACTTGAATGTTTTCTTGTGCTTAGGCCTAATCAAGAAGTGTATCTGGAATGTAGGATGTTTCTCGCAGAGTCAAATATTTTACTGGTTTGACAGATCTTAAATTCAATATTTTTTTAGCATAGCAGTGTGTTTTCACCAGAGTGGTCTGCTTTTAGTTGCAGAGTATTGTGCTTGTGTAAGAACTCTCTTAGATGTCTTTCCTTTTAAAAAGAAAAACAAAAAAAAATTCAAAAAACCCGCCCCAAAACCCAAAAGAGAAAGAATAGCTCTTGCACAACTCCTAACGGAAGAACTGTGCTTTGTTTCGAGGTCAAAAGGAAAACTGAAACAAAAGAAGGGCCAGTTAATAGAATGTAGGATGTTTAGGTAAAATAAAGTAATTTCATCCATGATGAACATGATGTCTACTATCAAGCAAGCGCAGTCTGAAGAAGACGTAATAACTTATCTCTACCTGGGTTATTAGGATAAATCTGCAGATGAGGATATGTGTATAATGGAAGCTTCAAAAGCTACAAATCTGATGTGATAAATGATTCAAAGTACAACACATTAGCTTAGATTTTAATGTTTGTAAAATGAATGAAACAATACATCTATATGCCAAAGCCATATTATCATAAACGTATTTGCCAAACTATAAGACATAAATTGCACTTAAATTTAGTAATCTATGATAGTATGCTTGAATGTATCTTTGTGATTAAATGTGAACAATTGCTTCTTTAAGGTAAAGGTCTGTGTATGTGTGATTAATCAGACTGAAATGACAGGGCGGACAGCTCATGCCATGCCTGGTTATCAGAGTGATTGATTTTAGTCAATGCTGCGGGTGAAAAAATATCTGTTAATAACTACAGCTGCAAAACTCCTGATGTCAGTGATAGCACAAATCACTTCTCACATTCTGTATTATCTGGCTCATTTGCAGATATGGAACATTCCAGCGATCCATTGGAACACAAAATTTTAACGTACAGATTTATGCAAGAGGGATGACTGCAAAGTGCATCGCATGAGTAGAGTAAGAAGCTGAAAATTGCTGCTGTTGTAGCTGTCATACGCACGTTATTTTCTTTGGTATGTGTGGAGATTTCGCTGTCAGGCTTTTATCCTCCAGATTGTTTGTGCTGTACCTCTCTTCCTGCTTAAAATAGAAAATCAGTCACTGAACCTGGATGCTATTAAGTGTTCTTAGAATAATTCTTAACTAAGTTGGTTGATTTTCACTTTCTGATGAAAGAATATTTGGTTGTTTATTGCAGGCTCTAAATAAACATGTTTTTCCAAAATCAACAGATAAGATTACAAATTACATTCCATCAACAGAATTGTTTACCGTAGGTATATTCCTTGCCATATAATATTTATCATTTTAGTTGTTATGTTTTTTATTTTGAAAGATCTGGAGTTTATCTTCATCTAACATTGTGTCTTAACTACATTTTGCAGGGGTTAACAGGGAATGTGGATGTTTTATGGACCTCAGAGGAGGAGTGGGGCAACAAATAATCTCATGTGTTTGGTAGGATTGTTATTTTAAATCCAGCCCATTACCCAGCCTTTTTGCACTAGCTTTTTATCTGACATTCCCTACTGGCTCGAAACAATATATTTCATATACCTCCAAACATAAAAATCTTTTCAGGTTTTTATAGTCCCTTGTCCCCCTGGAATTTACAGATGCATCCTTTTTCAGGAAGCACATACAAGTGTGGTCTGAAATGCTGGAGTACTTGATTTCTTGGAATGATAAAATTGTCCTTTGCTTTTTCAAGCTTTCCCTCTCTGCTCTGTAGATAAGTTCTTTAGCTGAAAAAATGAAATATGAAAAAAACCAGACTTGTTAATGTGTATGCTATTTCATCACACTGTTGTTTAGTTCTGGCTGGTATTCTGCAGAAGACCAGAGTGTGGTCATAGTGATATCAGTTAGCCTCAACATTTTATTTATGTAAATGATAGGGGAGAAAATGTCCAGTTCAAGAAAGCAGAGATGATTCTTGCTTAGTAGGAGATTAAAGCATTACTGTCATTATTATTTGTTCTTATTTCTCCAGAGGATCTGGGTCTTGATTATGATTCCGTTGTGGTAAGTGCCTCTATCAATCACAGAGAGATCAAGTCCTTGCCTGAAGATGTGCATATAAAGATACTCCATACAGCAGCATGCCTTGAAGGAGCTTGATGGTAATTTCACAGATGCCAAATATATTAATGTGAGTTCAGGTAGACTGGCACGTTTCTGAAGTCTCAGGTATTTCAAGACAAAACCTTCTATTTATTTATTTATTTTAATTATTACTGTGATTCTCACAGGAATAACTGTAATGCAGAAACAAAAGACTTGCCTGACTTTTAGATCTGCAAATTTCTGAACTTTGAATATTGTCCTTTTATATGTTGAGTAGGGTTGTGTGGGAATTCTATGTTAGGTGCTTTCATCAAAGAAATGGAAAACTGATAATGAATCCTTGCCACTAGTGCAATTTACTTATTAATTTACTGAGGAATCATCTCTTAATCTGAAAGTCATAAAATTTAAATAAAAAAACTTTTAATATTGAGAATGGACCCAATTGACCTATAAGCAGCTGATAATTTTGAATGCTGTTGGCCACAGATATCCATGCACTACCTTCCCTCACTTTCCTTTCATACAAATAATGAGCATTGCACTAAATTGCAAATATGCTTTTGTCTTTTGCTCAAGCAAAAGAGTAAGAGTTGACTTTTAGCCTACTCTTGTGTGTGATGTTCCTGAGTTCACTGCTTGATTTATTTGCAGATATGGCAAACTGAGAAGATACATTTAAAATACTGCCGGTTGTTTTTATGTACAAGAATCCCAGCCATGAAGGAATCTGAACTAGGAGGAGGAGACAGGAGTTCCTGGCCACACTCTTTTGTTAACATCAGTAAGCCATTGCCATAGGATTGAGTGAAGATGCACCACCTCAGGAATTTTAGATAAAAGGTCACAGCTTGACACCAAGTACAGGGCATTTATATGCATCCATTCCATTTCACAGGGCATCCACTGTCTCCAGGCACAGCTGCAGGACTCTTCATGTATAAATAAATAACCTGCTGTAAGACAGATTATGTTCCCTGGATATCAATCACTGGTAAATACCGTGTTACTACTTACGATGTAAGAATACTAAATGGAAACTCACGAAGATTTCAGATTGCCATTATATTTACAGTCCTGGGGCTTACTGCTGAAAGCTATTGGATGTGTTTGCCTCTGAATACGGGCTGAAAGCTGTGCTGGGATACTCATTTCTAGCTTGCCTCTCAGATTTTCAAATCAAGGTTAGTCATACAATCCTACCTCTGAATTACTGTAAATATTGCAAAAAGATTCCAATCTTTGCCAGTTGGAATCAGTAAGGAAACAAAACTCCAGACTCCTCCTTTCCTGATTACATATCTGGCAAATATTTTGGACCAAAGTGTTCTGTGTATTGTGTGATTACAGGGGCTAAATGCACTGAGGGAGAAGGAGTTAAAAAAAAAGGTAAAAAATCCCCTGAAGTGTTGGAGTGCCTTCTAGTAGCTGCACAATAAAAGCACAGATATTTTATTCCCCTTTCTTCTACCCAACCATCAGCTCTTTTTCTGTCAGCAGTCAGACATTCCCGAATTCCAGCTGCAAATAATACGTCCCTCCATGTGCTGGCATCAAAAAGCAGGGTTGGTTTAACCCTGAATTGTTGCCGTCATTCCAAGGCACCGAGTCCAATTTCTTTGCAATGTGTTCAAATGCTTCCCTCAACAGCCACTCTTCTCCACTGGCCAAAACAAAGGTGAGATATTGTTTACAAATTCAGGAACTCTGTGTTGGAGACTGTCAGTGTTTTGAAAGAAGCCACAGTTGTGTGTTCTTAGATGATTCTGATCTTTTTCAATGAGTGCACCTGCTTTTTAATTCCTTATTAATTTTGGCTTATTTATAAATAATTCCAGACAGGATTCTTTTTTTTTTTTATATTCCATTATGTTTATCTCATGGAGGAAAATATAGTTAGAATATACATTTCCCCCCTCCCTCCCCCTTATTTAGTATATCAACAGATTAACTTGGAATATTTTTTACTGAACTATGAAGATAAGGAAAAACTCAAAGCTTGCTGAATACTCTTTGGTTTTAATTATTGTTGGTATTAGGGAATCTATAAAGGGATATTTGTTATCCTTTACCTCCTTGACATAATTGCTCTAATATTAAGGTCGGATTATTTTAGATCTGTAGCATCCTCACTTAATAACAAAAGAATGGTCACGAACGGAAGAGTAGCCCATCCAGGAAACAGTATCAGAAGAGCCAAAACCATTTTGGCCAAAATGTCAGCTAAGAGGGGGACACAGCACTTCATTAACCTGTTTGTGTCCAGGTGCCCTGGAAAGTAGACCTACAGAAGTAATCTAGCCCAATCAACCAAGCTGCTAAGAGAATCATTGCAACTTGATGCAGCCATCCTTTTCCTTAATGAGCTTTAACATAGAACAGTAGAATTCATGCTGACCAAAATTCAGACCTGTGTTGAGGGATGACTGTTTTTGACTGGAGTTTAATGAGTATGATTTTTTTTCTAGTCTTTTTTAACTTCTGTTTTGATTGAGTTACAGCCACAAAAAATTAATTTCAGTGTGCCTCTTCATTTGTGTTTTCTGTTGTAATATTCTACTTCATACAACATCATGGTTAGTACACCGTGGGCTTCATAACAGTGAGCCTCCTGAATTTTCCAAGAAGATTGCTTCAGTATGAGGGAGAGATTACTATTTTGCTATATAGTTTCTATTACAGAGTAAATAATTTCCAGATAAGACTGATTTAGCTTACCACGGTAATGCACAACATTTTCAAATGTAGAAATCAGAAGCTTATTTTACTACTTCTATCGAACTGTCACATAGGAGAAGGCCATTTATGAATTGAGAAAGGAAGGTGGAGGCTTTTTAGAGGTGTATTCAGCTGATTTTGATACTTTTGAATTATCTCAGCATTTTTTTCAGTGTATTCATATTACAGACAGTATTTCTGACAATCTATTATGTGCTTCATTGACCACAAGGTTTGAAATTTGGTTCATATTGGCACAGTAGTGTCATATTTGTAGTGATAAATGGATAATTTTTTTATTAGGTCTCTGTTGTTTAATTTGAGATCTGTAATTTTTTTTGCAGTTCATTACTTCTGCTATTTTTCTGTCTAGGAAAAAGGGATCAAGGTGCTTTAGACTTGTCCATATGAAGAGATGGACTATCCAAGGAAGGGTAAATGTACTTATATTGTCTATTCATCTTGCTTTAAAAGAATTAATGTTATAGTTTTCTGACTTTATTTTTTTTAGGGAACCAACATTGCTACTCTTGTAAATCTGTTTAAAATGTGCAACCCATGATTCATAATTAGGTCGTATGCTTGCTTAATGCTGTTTTCATAAGTAGAGATCTTTTATTTAGGCATAAATAAAATTTCAACAGAATAGTAGTATTGCCAAATTATAACCTCCTTATACTAAAAGTAATAATACCTCATATCATTATTTAAGTATGTTGTACTATACAATTATAAGGAGGAGGAAGCTGAAGAAGAGATTAAGCACTGAGAAAATGCTTCTGTTTTAGCATGTTCTCTATTATTCTTTATTTACATCAAACCACATTTCCTTCTAAATGGACCCTGAATCCAAAGCGTTGGTCACATTGTTTGCCTAATTCTACAGAAATTTATATTTTATATATGTAAAATAATCCTAATCTCAGTCCTTAAAATCATGTAGAATATTTTCATCTGTGTTTTCTTCAAATTGGTGGAAAATATTCTTAGATTTTCCTATGTAATAGCTGTGAGAATCCACCTTTTATATAGACTGCAATTAAATAGAAGACACAGAGTAAGATTATAGTATGTCAAGAGGACAAAGAAGGGAGTTGCCTACCTGTGGCCAATGAATAGCTTGAGTGAGCTGAACAGTATTATGTTATATCTAAAGGCAATGCAGAAAAGTAACTGATCCTTAAACTGGTAGTAAAGCGCTTGTTTCTGAAACTGGTGAGTG